GACAGCTAGCCTTCCATTTAATCTCACTAGGCCCCCAACCAGTTGGGCAATATCCGCCCACATCAAGTATGGTCTTCCTCACTCTGTCTTCTCAGACCTGCATGCTAACTCCTGGAAACACCTTCACACGTAAACCACAAGTATGCTTTTCCAGATCTCTGGGCATCTCTGAATCCACTCAAAAATCCCTATTTAAAACTGACCATCACGCCTAGTGTCCTCTGGGTCAGAAAAGTCAATGACTTTGTACTGCTTATGACTGACCATGAAGTAGAGAAGTTCCTGTGAAATTAAGCCCTTCCCCCTTAAAGAATCTCACAGTAAGTACTCAGGCAGGTACTCTCAGAATTGAATTTAATTATAGGTTACTCTGTAGCATACACGAGAGAATTGCTTGGTGTGGGGAAAATTCTCCACACATCTGGTTATAGAAGTGGTCTATGTTAAGTGTAAGAGGGCGGAGGATGGGGAGGGGACAATCTGTCTTTCTAAAATGGGTAGCTCTGGGCTGGAAAGTCTAAGACAGTGGTAAATCAGGGTCTGATGAAGATACTCTGTCTTTGTAACTGGTATCTTCCTGCCGTGTCCTCCTGGGACACGGGGAAGAAGTTAACTCTTCTAGCCTCATCATGGGGGTAATTAACTCACAAGACTCCTGCCTCCAAAAGCAGTGACCTTGGAAGTTAGCATTTGGCTTTCAGTTTTAAGAAGAACCAAGTTTTTAGACCACAGCTCTTACAATCTACCCTCTCGGCCTATTCTTTGTCCTGACAGGGCCGCTTGCTGTACTCCAGTGGGGAATGATGACATTAAGTAGGAGCATAAGAAGTCTGTTGGAAAAGTAAGGAAACAAAACACTGTTAGAAAGGAAAGACAAACAACACACACACACACACACACACACACACACACACACACACAGTGGTACAGATCTGACAAAACCCCAAACAACCAAATGTGAAACTTCAGAAGAAAATACTGTCTTACAGTGTGGGTGGGTGGGTGGGGAATGATAGGCCCTGCCTGCCATGCTGTCATTGATTGGCAGCTGCCAAGGAAACGATGGGTTCTACCGGAATGGTATGCTTTGGCTTCGTGTGGAGGCATGGAACTTAATGGCACTCAGTGGAACTGGATGGCAAGCTCTTTTAAAACTTAAAGTGTATTATTTATTATAGGTGTGTCTACATATATGCACGTGGGGTGTGTGTGAGTATGCATGTGTGTACACTTTATGAACTTGTCTCCTTCTCCTGTGGGTTCCATGGACTGGGCTCAGTGTTCAGGGAGGCAAGGCCAGAGCTTCTACCATTGAGTTGTCTGGCCGGTCCCTGAATGGCAAGTTCAGTTTAAAAGGAGATAGAAGTTGCGCGTATCCACGACTGTCCTCCAGAGTGAGAAGGTCCACAGGGTCCCTGCACCTAGGAAGAAGCACTTGAAATGACGCATGCCGCGTGGAAGTGGCTAAAGCCGCAACTAGGAAGCTAGATCTCCCCAACTGCTTGTCACTAAAAAAGAGACTTGTAAACTGAAATTTTTGGAGTGTATGAACTTTCATTTATGGCCTTTTCTTTGAAAGGCAAACAAGCAAGATTTTACACTAATGTTTCTTACAGCAGGGAGACGTCTCAGAAATGGATTGCTTTCCTCTGGGCTTTTTTTAAAATCTTATTTATTTATTTATACTGATATTTTATTTATGTTTTAATAAATAAAGCTTGCCTAAAGACCAGAAGGGCAAAGCTAAGCCACTAGAGGTCAGGCAGTGGTGGTACACACTTTTAATTCCAGGATTCAGGAAACAGAGGCAGATGGATCTCTGTGAGTTCAAGGCCACCCTAAACTACACAAGATCAATGAAGAAACAAATCCAGGTGGCGGTGCTTCACACTTTTAATCCCAGTACTAGGAAGTCATGAACCTTTAATCCCAGCACTAGGAATATAAAATGGGGGGGGGGGGGGCTTAGTCTGCTTAGTCTGCAGGCGCCCAGCCTGGGTAGAGGTAAGACTTCTCTAATGGCTTGGCTGCTTTGCCTTTTTGGTTTTTGGATTGAAGCCCATTATCTGTCTCTGAGTTTTTATTATTTGTGCTACATTTATTTATTTATTTATTTATTTATTTATTTATTTTGGTTTTTCGAGACAGGGTTTCCCTGTGTAGCTTTGGAGCCTATCAAGGAACTCACTCTCAAGACCAGGCTGGCCTCAAACTCACATAGATCCACCTGTCTCTGCCTCCCGAGTGCTGGGATAAAAGGCGTGCACCACCACCCCGGCTATCTTTGCTTTTTAAATCTCCAGCACAGAATCAAGAAGATATGTTAACATACACTACCTGGTCCTTTACAGAAAAGTCTACCAACAATTGATATTTGTTTTAAGGACTTTCATGTCTGTGTTGACACGGTTTATACCCACTGTAGCTCCAGGATGGAGTTACTGCGGTGGGTTTGGGTTCCTTGCCACTCCCCACTTGGCGTTGGTCAGAATCATGTCTGTGGTTTGAAACTGGCCATGTAGGAGAAATTTACTAGAGATTAGCAAATGCTGACAGTTGGGCCTGTTTCTCTTTGGAGAGCTGGTTGGTAAACATTTACACAGTGGCCTGTTTCACCTCACAGTGCATATGTATTAGATCCCTTACACAGATGTGTGTACTGAAGTCCTAATCCCCAGTACCTCAGAATGTGACTGTCTGTGGAATAAGAGTCCTTGAAAGGGCAATTAAGTTTAAATGAGGTCATTAGGGTAGCTCCTAATACAATATGAAGAGTTGGCCTTTTGAGAATTGAGATCTGGACACAGACGCAGAGGGCAGGCCCCAGGATGACTCAAGACAGCAGCCATTTAGTGCAAAGGGCAAAGCCCAAAGGGAGTCCCCAGCAATGACACCTTGATATTGGACTTAGAACCTCTAGAAGTAGGAGGGATACATTTCAGTTTTCTAAGTCATCCAGTCCGTATTAGGGCAGCACTAGAAGATGATTAGTTAGTGACCCAAGAAGGTCGAAATTGCTCCAGAAGTTATCAAAGAAATGCATTTGATCTAGTGAGTGTCTTCCCCCACCACCCCCTGCAACCTAATTATATATGCTGTTAACTTACTATTGGGTACTCTGAGTGCCAAACAAGACTAGGGAACTCTTTAAACATCAGTTTCCCTAGGAAATAATAAGCCAAATTGTAGGATAGAGGCTTGTACCAAGCAGCACAACTTTTCTTCCTCTTCTTTTCTGCACCTGACTTGACTCCACAGCTACAGTGAAACAGGGGGACAACAAGTTGAAGGTATAGTGATGACAGCTGTCTCTGAATTCCTTAGTAAGTCAGGGAGGTGACACGGGAGTTTCCTCCTGGAGATAGCCCTTGAGAAGAAGGAGCAAGCACTGTGATCTACTACTTCTTGCCTAGTATGGTCTTTGTTTTTTAGAGTTCCCTGTGGTTTGATGTAGGGTATTTTTTTTTAACAAGGAAAAGACAGAAAACGATTTAGACTTTGCTGAAAAGTTTCTGCACCCCAATAAGCCTCTCTGCAGACGTAACAATGCAAATCAGACCAAATCAAACAGAATTAGAAAAAGCCCAGGTTTAATGAATAAAATGCTGCCGGATGATTTTCCAATTTTCTAGCCCCGCCCCCGTCACCTCCCACCACCCCAGAGGAGACAAGAAAGGAAGACCAGAAAACCACATCTCTGTTTTTTTTTTGGGGGGGGGGCAGTTAAAATACCCTGTGGGAGTGATCTTGAGCATCTGTGGAGGAGGGGTCGTCATTTGGTGGGCTTTCTGAGATGCAGTAGGGCTTGGAGAGAGATGGAGGAGGGGGCTTGGAGTGGAACTTCCACCAGAACATTCCAGACTCTTTGGGTATGTGGATGCCAAGGGCAGGGGTGAAGCCTCCACCAGAACACATATAAGCATGGAATAATTCCATAGAATATAACCCGTGACTCTCCATGTTGTTGTGGTATGAAGATGTTCCAGATTCATTTGCTGAGACACAGCCACACATGCAGATCATACACAAAGGTGATTACATCATAAGAGAAGAATTCTTTTTTTTTATTTTTATTTTTTTATTTAAATTTATTTATTTATTAAGGATTTCTGCCTCGTCCCCGCAACCGCTTCCCATTTCCCTCCCCCTCCCCCGATCAAGTCCCCCTCCCTCATTTAATGGCCTTACTCCCTTCCATAAGAATTCTTCTCTTCTATCATACAACAAAAGAGAAGAATTCTTATGGAAGGGAGTAAGGCCATTAAAAGAGGGTTTGCTCCCCAACATCTTACAAAGCTCTTCCCTGTGATTCCTGGTGAGAACACTGCAAGACATTGGAATGCAGGCATTTTTTCCATGAGCTACTCAGCCATTATCATAGAAGCTTTGTAAATTCATTCAAGAATCCTAAATCCTACTAGGCAGGGTGGTGCACATCTTTAATCCCAGAATTTAGGTGGTAGACTTAGGTGAATTTCTGAGTTTGAGGCCAGCCTGGCCTACAGAAAGAGTTACAGGACAGCCAGGGCTACACAGAAAAACCCTGTCTGGAAAAACTAAAACAAACAAACAAGAATCCTGAGTCCTAAGAAGAATTTAATCACCAGTGTAAGGCAGAAACATTAGGTAAGAATGTGAAGGCTTTACTCTGAATTTAATCACCAGTGTAAGGCAGAAACATTAGGCAAGAATGTGAAGGCTTTACTCTGAATTTGATCTTGAGCTGATCATTGAGTCTCTCTGGGCCCCCTGGTCTGCAATGTGAAGATGGAAGACACAGGTGATTGAGTCCCTAAAATCTGATGATCTCAGATTCTATCTGCTGACAGAAAGGCATTCTCTTACCTGTCCAACCATGCCAGAGATAGATGCCTAAATTCACAAGTAGGCAAGGCTGTGCCGAGGAGGGAGTAACCCCTGATTCATTGTTCCTCGTTGTCTTTAGCTTGGGAGACATATTTCCTTTGTTCCCATTGTTACATTGTTTCTTCTCTGGCCAGGAACACGGATGACCTCAATCTTGTCTTGCCTGTCTGGAGTAAATAACGAGCAATCCATGATTTCATTTGAAAACGCTGACAATCTGAATTATATCAAGCAAAAGTCTGGTAGGTAGTAGGCATTAGCAGTTGCCCCTTCTGGATGTGCTAAAACCACCCTTCAAAATAATGAATTTATTGTATGTACATTGCGATTTAATTTTTAAAAGTTATTAAATAAATGAATGAATCAAGCAGTTGAATATTGGGATGGAAAAGAATTTATGTTGCAATTTTAAAATTCTGATTTCTGATAGACTAAAACAACCACAGTAACAGTAACAAAAAGCATTTTTAAAAAAGAAAAAAATTTTCTCAGATACCTGTTAATACTACTCCTTACCAGGAGACATTAAGGTTATATAGCATACATTGGTGTTTTGGTTTTGTTTCTTGGGTTGTGTGTGTGTGTGTGTGTGTGTGTGTGTATGAGTGTGTGTGAGTGTATGTGTGTGTGTATGTATGTGTGAATATCTGTGTGTGCGCCCTAGAATTTACACACAGTAGGCAAACACACAGCCAATGAACTGCTTCCCCAAACTTTTTTGAAACAAAATTTTACTTCATTGCTGGGACTGACCTTCAGTTTGTGATCCTCCTGCCTCAGCCTCTGAGTAACAGGGATTATGGATTTATGCTATTAGGCCTCATACCATATGCTCTTAAAGTTTAAAATTCTGACTAATGTAATAGACAATAAAATTCCTCTCTGATTTTCAGAGGCAAACTGAAAATCTAGATAAATGCTTTTCCAAGTGTTTTCAGCATTTTAAAGTATTTCTACGTTTTGTAAAATATTTATATTTAGTACCATGAATTCACGATACTTAATATTATTTTTTCTGTTGGTTAGTTTCTTAATGCAATAAGAGCCCCAGGTTTTCTCATTAACCGAAACATTCTTAAATGCTTGGTCAAACTTAAGTGAGTACAGTATTTGAATATATTTTTGTTTTTTGTTTTTGTTTTTTCAAGACAGGGTTTCTCTGTGTAACAGCCCTGGCTGTTCTGGAACTCACTCTGTAGACCAGGCTGGCCTTGAACTCATTGAGATCCTCCTGTGTCTGCCTCCCAAGTGCTGGGATTAAAGGCATGTGCCACTACTGCCTGGTTTAAATATACTTTTATTCGGAGTAAACAAATATGTGTTATGGTAATATTATAAATTAGGTTTTTTAAATATCTTTGTCAATATACTTACCAGAGAAGGCAATCATAGGCTGCTTTTCTGAAATATTTGGCTCTTAGCATTCTCATCTTCTCAATCTGTGTCCTTGAAATAGAAAGTATCTTAAAGTTTATAGTGGGATCAAAAATGTCTGAAGGAACTTGGCCTTAAATAATCATTTACCCCTCAATAGTTACTCATAATTTAAAAATAATATAAAGTATTAAACTACATTTTATCCGCTCTCTAACACCTTCTGACCTGAGCTGTCTTCTTTTCTCGATGTTGATATTTTACTCTTTAAGTCTTTCCAAGGCCTGTTTGAGACAACCTAGCAAAGTATTTTCTAAAAAGTATAAAATTCTGGCTTACTTTGTGCTATAGTCACAAGCTTACAGATTTCTAAAGATCATTACCTACAGAAGAGTTTAGTAACATCTATCTGCAGTTAAAATTATTTTAGCAAAAACTTTGATGAACTTGGAAATTTCCTGTGCCCCCCAAAAATTACGCTTGGCATTATTTAAACATATTAAATAATATAATGTATTTCCCACTCTAAAGTTGTAATTTAAGGAATGTGAAAGCTAGAAGCTTGGAAAGAGATATTTTTGTTGTTTCCTGAGCCTAGGTTCTCTTTTTTTGCACCAGCCTCCTGGACACAGATCTCAGAATGTCAGTGTTTCCTTGGTGTTAGCCTATAACATATCTACATATGGAATGCATATGTGCAAATGGAAACAGTGGAGACAGAGAAGGAAATCTAAAGGAGTTGGTCAATGCTGCCCGTCCAACTATGGAAGAAAGAACAAATGAGAGATTAAGACGACAAATGAGCTCCCTATTTTAGACTATGATCTTTGTATTTCTCCTAAATCTCAGATTCCTGCCTCCTTCCTTCACCCACCCATATTCATAACTCATATTCATAATTTTATAGGAATCTTTTAGTCACTTTTGTCACATTATACAAATCGATTCTGAATCCTTGACTCCACCCTTTTTTTCTGAGGTATGGATGAGATTTTTTGAAGACTATTTTAACCTTTCCACTTGAATTTTCTGCACATCAGATTTATTGTGTTTAAAGATAAACTCATTACATTCTCTCAAAACCACTCTCCAGATAATCTCCGTCTCCTTTAAAAACAATTGTGTGTCAAAATCACGCAAAGGGAATCACTGTTCTTTTCCCCTTTTTATCATGGCAATTGTTTGTTATTACTCTTTGAGACAGGATCTCTTTATGTAGTCCTGGTTGTTCAGGAACTCAATATATGTGACCAGGCTGGTATCAAATTCACAACTATCCTCCTGCCTCTGCCTCCAAAGCACTGGGACTAGCCTGCATCAACACAGCAAGCTATGACTCTTTTAACATCTTATCAGAATGTATCTAAAAGTTGCCACCCTCTATTTTATTCAGGTTTCCTACATTCTTTTCTTTCTTCTGCTTCTTCTTCCTAATACCAATACATAACCGAGGGAACAAAAGGATATTTTGTTGCTGTTGATTCTGGAAATAGATAGTTCTTAAAGAAATTTGCTTATATATTTAAAAATAACAGCTTTGCTTGTTTGTTTGGTTAGCTAGTTTTATTTTTAAAGAAATTCTGGGTAGTAAGGACTCAAGAGTCTGTGGAAACTCCTGTCCTGCTGGTGGAGATACGTCTGTTTAACTCTAGATGTAAGGAAGGGGGTGCTAACCACATTGTTTACCCATAACCACCTGGCTGACCTAGTTTGCTAAAGAAAAACTTTAACAGAGATACTGCCTTCCTGTCCTTGTCAGCGTCTCTTCCCAGACTTGTCCATCGGTTGCTTAACTCTCCCTAGCAAAGTCTGGGGCCAAAAAAGAAAGGCTTCTTTCTTTACTTAAACAACTGCAAATCTCTATGGAACCAGGGACTCAGAATTGGTATGGCTAATAGGATATTTTGCAATTTATACTGAGAGCTTTAATTCCTGTTTGCAGCCTTTCTACCCTCAGGTTTGAGCTTTATTGCACAAAAGCCAGCAGAGGATTATTGCACAAAAGAAGCTATACCAAAAGGACACTGATTATCTGAGACTGGAAGCTGACTTTCTTGACCTCTGTAGGAAGATAATTGTCTTGCAAACCTAGAGAGTGAAAAGGCTTCTCCAAGCTCTTTTTTTGCTTGCATTTAACATATCAAAAGCTATGCCTGCTAGCCGCTGAGCTTTCAAACTACAACGTCAGTCACAAAAAACCCTGTTCAGACAAATTCATAATAGTCACTATAGGTAAGTTACAGCTGAAACTGAAATTTCACACACAAGAAGACTTTCACTGTTTGAAAGGTATTTTGACATATTTTTTTTATTGCGAAAAGAAGAAAAAAAAACATAAACAAAAAACAAGTTTCCACCTCCTCCCAGCCTCCCATTTCCCTTCCCCTCCTCCCACCCTATTTTGACATATTTTTATCATTTGTTTTAAATGTGCTATTCACGATATACTGAGCTGTGATTAAAACAAAACAAAAAACCCTTGAGCTTTTCAAAAGAGAATTAATTCATGAGGCAAAAAGAAAAGAAACTAATTCTGCTGTTTAAGGCAAATGGGAGGATGGGGGTGGGGCTTAGAGAAACTGTCAAAGAATTGGAGTGCTCAAATTCTTGGTACGGGGTAGAACTGGTCAGAGTGGAACATCTCACACTGAAGAATGGAGCTGTATATTGATATTATAAAAAGCTGAAAACTGAAGTGACATAACCGGGAGGAAAGTCTAAAGTCACCAAACACTGTGAGGAGCAGATCGAAATGGGGTGTTCACAGGTTTACATCGCGATGAATCTTCAGCACAAAGTGAGCTACAGCAAATGACGTGGGACCCAAGATGCGCCAGCTGACAGCAAGATGGCCGGGGCAATGGAATCTTTCCTCCTGATAATGACGGAAGAAGAAAAGGAAATGCAAGAAAAGTCACTGGTAACCAGCCCTGGAACAGTCTGTATCTCAAGAGAAAAAAGACTGGAGCAATGAATTGTGGGTGTGGACGTGATGGGAGGAGGAGATATCAAGGAAGATGAATACATAAATCAAAAAACAGCAAATGCAGGCTTGGTATAAAAATGTACTGAATCCCAGAAAGCATAGTGGCATTTCATTTGTAATTTAATAAATAAAGCTTGCCTGAAGATCAGAAAAGTACAACAGCCACACTGGCCAGCCTTACAGACCAGGCAGTGACAACAAACACCTTTAATCCCAGTAGCCACACTAGCTTGTCATAGAAACCAGGCAGTAGTGGTGCACGCCCTTAATCCCAGAACTAGAGAGGATTATAAAATGAGAGGAGACAGCTCTCAACCTCATTCTGATATTCCTGGAGGCAGGATCAACATTTTCAGACTGAGGTCGAGGTAAGAGCCAGTGGCTAGCTGCTTTGCTTTTCTGGTCTTCAGGTTGAACCCCAATATCTGTCTCTGAGGTTTTATTAAATGTGCTACAAGAAAGCAGTCCAATACCCTAGTTACATCGAAACCAACTGCTCGCAGATGATAGAAGGTTTGTGTCCACACAATGTCTCACCTGCCACCTCGAAGACAGCAAATAGATTAGGCCAAGACTCTAGATTTTTCTAAATTAAATTAACAATTTTTCTTCTATGCCTCTCTAAATGGGAGGCACTCACAAAACAGATAGGAGAGCAATTGGAAGCACCTTGCTGTTACGGTACATTTGATTACGTCAGTAACCGTAGGCCCTGTCTGTGTTCTGTGTTTCTCTTAGCAGGCCTTCCCCAGCCACACTACACATGCCCTTACTCACTTCTGCTCTGACGTCCCACCAACCAGCTTATGGGGAAAGTGGTACAATGATGTATCACATGTTCACTAACAGTAAGATTCCCCCACTCTCATCTGACCTATCTTACTACCTCTGGCATGGTTTTGTTCTGGGGTAGTTTTAAAGTAAATCCCAGGTGGTAGGGCGCCATCTCTCAGGCTAGGGGTTTCCTCTGCTTATTCATTTACTTAATGTCTACCTTTCCTTTCTAGAACTTGAGCTCAACAAAAGCAGGATTTTTGCGATCTCTAATGACAGCAGCAGCATCTTTAAAAGGTCCTGGCATGGATCTAGCTGGAGCGCTGACTTAGCAGTTAAGGGCACTTCCTGGTCTTTCAGAGGAAGTTCCATTCTACCCCCCCCCCCCCACACACACACAGAACAGCTCACAATCATATCAGGAACTCTTGTTCCAGGGAATCCAATATTCTCTTAGGCACACTGATGACAGGCAGGCAAACACTCAAACGTATAAAATAAAAATAAATAGGTCTTTTAAAGGGTCCTGGCACATAATATATGCTTGATAAATATATTGAGCAAATAAACATAGAATCCAAGTGGTGACATGTTGTAGCTAGAAGTTTTCTCTGTCGCACTAGCCTCCTGGACCAGTTCCACCTCCACTTGCTAGTTCCTACAGCCTCTTATGAAATAATCACTCAGAGGCTAATATATTAAATATAATTGTTTGACCAATGGCTTAGGCCTCTTAATGGCTAGCTTTAAATATAAATTAACCCATTTCTAATAATTTATATTTTACCAAGAGGCTCATGGCTTGCTGATAATGTTCAGACCTCTTTTTTCTTTGGTTGCTACATGGCGTCTCCTTGACTCTGCCAACTCTCTCTCTCTGTGCATCTTCATTTGGACTTCCTGCCTGGCTTTACTCTGCTAAATCACTGGCCAAAACAGCTTTATTTATCAACCAATAAAAGCAACACACTTTAGACTCACAAAGATAGGATAGATGATAGAGTGTTTTCTTTAATTTTGCCTAATACAAATAGACTAAATGGGGTGGTACATTCCTTTAATCCCAGCACTCGGGAGTCAGAGGCAGGCGGATCTCTGTGAGTTCTAGGCCATCCTGGTTCCAAGAACTAGTCCCAAGACATGCCCCAAAGCTACAGAGAAACCTTGTTTCGAAAAAACAAAACATAACAAAACCAACAGCAACAATGACAACAACAACAAATGGACTAAATGTTGTAACTGTAATTCTTGCTTGATAACTGTTTTGTTATATGTAATTTTACTATGTTAAAGTTAAAACCTTCCTTTTTATTTAGACAGAAAAGGGGAAATGACCTGGGATGTCCTTCTGTATATGTGTTGCATAACTAAGGGAAACTATAACTATAGCTATCTGTCTTCAACTCCCTCAAAGACCCCAGAAGGATATAATACTACCTAAGCAAATAGGAAGTGCATTGTAAGCAACTTCCAAAACTCTAGAATTTACAGAGACATCTCACTACCTGAACAGTCACCCAAACTTCTTCTATAACTTTGGGGCATCCATATTCAGCCTACAGACCCAGAGTATCTGGCAGACTAAAGACTCATATGGTCAGAAAAAGGTAGAGATATACAGTGAAGACAGATTCAGAGGTAAAGAAAAAAAGAAAGAAAAACCCAATCAGTTTACAGTATGCTGGGAGAGAAAAGAAAAAGAATAAAGAAAGTCCTTAAAATTTGAAATATAGTCAGGTGTGGTAGCACATGCCTTTAATCCCAGCACATGAGCCAGAACCTTACTAGTAACCCACAACCTTGTGGCAATACACAGATTAATAGAAATGGGTTAATTCAAGATGTAAGAGCTAGTTAGGAATATACCTGAGCCATCAGCCAAACAGTGTTGTAATTAATATAGTTTCTGTGTGATTATTTGGGTCTGGGTGGAAACAAAAAGGCAGTCTCTGTCTTCAGTATAAAGCAGATGTGCTATGCACATAACAGTGAATACTATTCAGCTTTCAAAACATCAGGAAATTCTACAAAACTATAACAACATGAATGAGTCATTAAGACATTATGCCAAGGGAGGCAAATCATAAAATGGCAAATAATTTAAACTGTAAAACGCACAGAATCAAAGACTAAAATGGTTTTGAAGGGGTGCGGGAGGCAGGAGTGGAGGGTTACTTATCAGCAGATACATATATATATAAATATATATATATATATATATATATATATATATATATGGAGAGAGAGAGAGAGAGAGAGAGAGAGAGAGGGGATTATTTTTGTTATAACCGCTATTCAACATTGCGTTTGCAGCCAATGGTACTGTGCCATGTGTTGGCCTTTGCCTAGTCCTGTTATCACAATGAAGTAAAACAAAACAAAACAAAATTACAAAACCTAGCTAGGCATGGTGTCTCACAATTGTAATTCTAATACTTAAGAAGCCGAAACAGGGAGACTGACATGAGTTAAAGGCCAATCTGAGTTATACGGTGAGACTGTTTAAAAATAGTATGGTAGTGTATGCCTTTAATCCCAGCACTCAGAAGGCCATCAGGAGGATCTCTGTTGAGTTTCAGAGCAGCAGGGCAACTCTGACACAGAGAAACCCTGTCTCAGAGAACCAAGAAACAAACAAACAAAAAACCCAAAAAATCAAAAAGCAACAACAAGAACTCTTTTAAAGCACAACAAAAATTAAACATCCAGCCCCAGCCTGCCTGGTATGAAAGAGAACTCAGTAAACCACGGAACTAGACTGTTGTATGGGTAGAAAGAAAGATTCACTGGGGATCAAACTGCCAAGGTTATGTCTCAGGGCAGGGGAGTGAAGCTAGAGTTGGGGAGAACAGAGAGAAGAACAAAATGTTATATTGCCATGATGGTATCCCTGGCAAGTAAACATTTGATGAAGGAATGAGCAATCAGGTGACCTTAGAGGCAAGACAGGGCCTGTAGCCCTAGGATGGTGGGGCCAGCCCTCAATACCCAATGATAAGCTTTAGCAAAGGAAGTAATTCTCAGTCCTGTCCATAACTGTGGACAGTTTGTCCAGTGAGCAGAGTTGCCACCTGCACTAGTCAGGGTCCTCTAGGGACACAGAACTTATGAAGGGAATTTGTTGGAATGGCTTACAGGCTGCAGCCCAACTAATCCTACAATGGCTGGCTGTGAACAAAAAGTCCAAGAATCAAGAGTCCCACAAGGCTGGGTGTCTCAGCTGGTCTTCTGTTACGCTGGAGTCCCTAAGAAGTATTCCAGTGACAGTCAAGGAATGGGTGTGCTGACAACGTGAGGGCAGGCAGGTGAAGAACAAAACCTTCCTCCTTCCATGTCCTCATATTGGCTACCAGCGGAAGGTGTGTGCAACCCAGGTTAAAGGCGTGTGTCTTTCCTCCTCAAGATCAGGATCAGCAGCATGTTGTCTTCCTGCTTTAGGATCCAGTGTGCCCTCCATTTCTGGACTGTAGTTT